AAAAAAGCCCCGAACAAAAACAAGGAGGAATAAAAAAGAATGTGAGACAAAGAGCATGAATCCGGTGCGGACGTGTTTAATAGGTGGAGTGACACCCACATCCGGCCGCGGTCACTCTGCCACACACAGATGGACGGTCAGCGGGAGCTCTGACAGAGGAGCTGCAGTCAGTCCACCCTGAGCGTTCACACAGGACACTCCACACCATCTGCAGCTGTCCTTGATTGCTTGGCGGTACGGGAAGTGAGGGGGGTCAAAAAGGAGAAGCTGCAGGAGGGCTGTTTGTCTGCAGGTCGAGTCCCTGCTGTCAAACAGGCCGGGGAAATATGATTTATGAATAGGGGCATTATGGAGGTTACAATGGACGGACGGGAGGAGGGAATGGGCATGTCAGCTTTAAGTGACGGCTGAGGGGGCGGACGCCTGGATGCTGGGTGTCTTATCGGGGGAGATTGTCTCCCCCCCACCCCCCCACCCCCCTCGCAGGAAACGATCCGGGCACATAAAAACCAGGATTTGTGTGAGACGGGAAATCGAAAAAAGGGAATCTCAAAGTTAATTCACAGCTGCTCGTATCTTAAGCAGATCTCACATTAGCTGCTAACGGAACCTTTCATTCTCGAAGCGACATGAAGACGGCTCTGAAAACACCGACCTGATCCACAGACGACAGAATTCAGAAAAACACGCTGAGGCCGAAACCCGAGGCAGCTCAAATCACAGTGTTCATTAATAAAGATGGTTCGTTATTTTCTATCCGATGTTCCTTCGATTTTACGCTGATCACAGACGTATGAGAGGAGTTTACATGAAAACTAAATCCCTTGACTCTTCTCTGGATCAGAACCAGAACAGCTTCTTCCCTGACCCATAATGCATCCTTCCTCCAATTTCCATGGTAACCTCATTTTGTATAATGCTGCTAAAACAAATATACTCCATAAAAACTCCTTGACATATATAAATATCTGAACGTAAACTTTTAAGGATATTTTAACAGTCCCGGGTGAGAGTTTGTATAGAATCTCTCATTATTCTCAAATTTCACCGTCGGTCTCAGCTTTGAAACTCTGCCTCGACTCGTTGAAGAGGTAATTTGTGATTGGTCATGAGGAGCGGGACAACCTGTGTAATCATGTCCCTGACTTGTTATGATGTCCACTCCAGTGTTAATGGAACAGCTCCAGGATTCAGTGGGTGACTTCCCCTGGGCTCCTCTCACTTCGTTGTTGCTCACTCTCTAAAATTGAACGTCTCTCTGTCTAAAGGGAAAATGAGAAATCTGCCTTGAGGAGAAATTAAAGAGTGGCAGTCAAACACCCGGGCTCTCACTCCTCTCGTTTTCACTCTGTTTCCGTCTCCTGCTCCTCTCTGGTTAATATCTTCCCAGACTCTAATCCTCCTCCTCTTCATCCTCCTCCTCCTCCTGTCTCCTCCAGTCGGTCTCCGGCTCACAGAACTGCTGACACCTGTGAACTGCCTCCCTCCCACACCTCAGAGCCCGGTGTCATCCTGAGCTATGTCCGTGGAAATACCATCCCAGGTAGTTCGGAGGCGCTGACACAACCATGGCAACGGCTGCCAGCAAGGATGAGGGAAACGTCTGTCGAACCTCCACAAGACGGAACGAGAAAGAGAGAGAGAGAGAGAGGTGGGGGGGGGTGAAGAAAAATGAACGAGAGACTCTTCGTTCCTGCTCGTCCAAACACATCAGAGACTTAAATCCCCGGCTCGCTCTTGGCTGATGCTGTTTTAACACGGACAGAGGACGGAGCTGTGAGGAGGACGGGGCCATGTGGTTTCTCATTTGTATCTGAATTCATCTGTAAACAGTCGCTCGTCTGCATAAACACTTCAGCTGCGTTCGTACCGACGACTGATGGTTGAGCCAATAATCCAACTGACAGATTGTCGATTAGTCGATTGACAGCGATGATGTTTGTACAGCCCCACCAATATATCGACTGGATGATAATATCGGTCAGTATGAACCTCTCACAGACATATCAGCATTTACGTACAAATGAATTTGACATGAGACATAATTTGAAAATATTCAAAAACAAACTTTTCTCCCCACAATCGAAAGAACAACAGATCTAATCTGCATCAATATGAAAAGTTATTTTTATTCATAGTTATTTCAGATAAAGTTTATGGTTCAACGGTGACATATCAAACCTAAATTACATTTCTTTGTCACAAGTGTTTAATAATCAAATTTTAGGGAATCATTGCCCATTTTTTTACAATTAAATCTGCTCATTTATCTGCACACAAACCTATTGTTGGAATCAGCTGACAAAGTTATACTGTGCTTTGTTTTGTCCACATTCACAGTCGGAAACTGTAAATATTCAATTCATGTCGACATAAAATCACAAAATCTAATTCAGAAACTAAGAAACTCTCGGAACGTTTCCTGTCGAGTGTAGGAATTCTGTTAAAGTAACTTTAATAATAAAAAAGCCTCCAAACTCGACCGTACACAACTGTTTTAAGATCAGTCGGTAGTTTGAAGTGCGTCAGTGGTCGTTGGCTCCCACAGTGAATAAACAGCTCATTACTCATGCTGTGTGCTAAGTGGCTCGGCTGGCATTGTGTAACTTCTGTGTAATGTGGTATCCTGTCTCTTGACATCTTGCTGGCTGAACCCTTTATTAACAAATGTGGCTTTTTGCTTGCTGCGCTGAGCTATCTCTGGCTCTCTGATGCTGAGTCGCGCTCTCATCTTTTATATCTGGGTTGCGTTGTGCGCTCTCGCCGGCCTCTCTCTCGCCTTTCTGTTCCGCTCTGCTCTTTTCCTGCTCCACTCAACTCCTCTCTGCTCTCGCTGTTCATCTTCACCCCTCTCCTCCGTCCTGCCCTGCGAGCTCAGGATGGAGATAAGACACACGAGGTCTGCATCGCCTCGTCATGAGCCGAGCGAGGAAATCCATATAGACAATATCGGGACGACAGCAAGGTGATAACAAGGCACAAGAGACGGCGTTATATATGGTTATTATTTTTAATATTAGATTTTACCAATAATCTGTGAATCTTTTAGTCTCTAAAATGTCAAAATCTTTCAAATTGGCTGTTTCTAACGTTACTGACAGCTTCGCCTGCAGCGATTACTCCGATGATCCATTAAAAAAGTTGATCAGAAAACATTTCACGGTCTTTTTTAGCCTATTAATCTTGTCTGTCTCCACTGATGATGACTCTAAAATATCCTGAAGGACATTTTCACTGTTTTCTCACATTTGATCAAATCCTTGATAAAGAATTTTTTATTTGGTCACTTTTTTTCCCCCATGTTTTCAACCATGCTGAGTCAACGTTGTGCAGTAAATGAGGCTTGATATTTTACATTTTAATTACAAACTTTATAATAAATTATTAAAAATAAACAGAACTTGTTCACGTAAAGTGCAAACATAAATATGGATATATTGTTTATTCTGTAGATTAAAAGTTGGCCCATGTCAAACATAAACAGTGATATCGTTTTGTCTGTGAAAGGCTCATATTGGCCGATATTTGCAAACCGTTAAATCACTCGTGCTCGACAAAACACAATAAATATAAAGTTTGATATATATAAATAATCTAAGATGCAGTGTTGTGTCCCTGTGTGTGTGTGTGTGTGTGTGACCCTGAATATGTGTCATGCTGTTATCCACAGCAGGCCGCTGTTACCCTGCGTGTTGCTGTGCAGACAGAGCCACACAACCAACAGCACAGATGCACACCCTTGTTGACTGGGCCACACCTTCAGAACACACAGCTCACTACACACTCGCTGTGGTGCCGACTTCACCGAGGTTCTCCTTCTTCCTCGGAGCGGCGAGCGGCTCAGTCTGCTCAGTCTCCACTAACACCTGCAGTGAAATGTTGATATTTTAAGTGACTGGAAGACGAAAACACGCATTCCTCACTACCTCTTCCTCCTCCG